TAAGGTAATTAAGTGGTATACTATTTTTATATACTTAATGAATCTCCTCATACTAGCAGAATAATTGGATGATCCATTTATTCAATAATTAAGCACCCAAAACTCAAAAGTTCAAACACCTACTAATAAGAATAATAATGTAGATCAAAATAATTAACACAGAAATTATTTATTGCGTATGAAAATCAAAATCAACAATCCATTCATTCAAAATGAAGATTAATAATTGGAAAAGCAAGAACCAACCTCAACAAGAAGAGAGAATGCTGAATGTGCAGAAAAACAGAGAGGTGAGTGTGTTAGAAAATGATGGAGGCTGAGAATCCACAAAAATGAGCACCCACATGACTTATAGAGGCTGAGAATCCAAAACCCCTCAAGAATCAAGACCAAAAATGTGTTTTTAGCAGTTGGAGTGATGAAAAATAGGTTTCAATGACTCTAGGTTTGTTTCTAAAAACGAATGATTTGTAGAAATGGAGAGCGAAAAAAATGGAGAGGAATTTAAATAAAAATACTTGACGGTTATTTCAAAACAATCATCAAGTATGTATACAAATTTATTTATTTTTTAAATTATTAATTTGATGTTTGTTTATCTAAAACCAACATGTAAATTTCACCTCTATTTTATGGTTATTTTAAAAAAACATCAAATATAGATTCTTGACAGTTATTATGAGATAATCATCAAGTATGTGTTGTAATACTTAACACTTGTTTTATAATAACTGTCAAGTATTATTCGCCTTTTTCATTTGTCATTTTTTTTAAATAAGCATCAATTATAGGGCGTCAACTATCCCCCTTTCTGTAGTAGTGATACCTCATTATTGAAATTATTTTCGAACAGCCCCCAAATGACTTCAAAACCACTAAAAGAAGGGAGGGGCAAGGATAATGGAATGGAAAGCTTACCCGTGATGTAGAAATCTCAAAGTACTCCCAAAACTCCACCATCATCGAACCCTAGTAGAGCCTAGGTGCCTCCCGTATAAATTTCTCTCCCAAAATATTTCAAATTTATTATTTCATATGACAGATTCCAATTTAAAAGTTTTATCATGCTCGCTTTGTTGAACTAAAGTTTTGTATGACAAATTCGAGTTTTAAAGTTTCGTCCAAAATGAATAGCTTCATTTAAACTAAACATGTTGGGTCAAACACAACCCAAAACTCTCTCAACTCCATTTTGACTTCTCTAAAGTCTATAAGGCCAAGTAGCTACCTAGAACCCAACAGTTGACTTCTAATTACTATAATTAATTAATTATGTTACCTAACTAATTAATTTATTTTTGAATTAAATCTCAAGATGTTACCTGTGTACACATGGATGACATGGCTGCTTCTATGGTGCAAAATGAAGAAAGTGGAGGGGGGATATAAAAAAGAAATGTGACCATGGAGCCTACTGCTATTTCCCCTCTTTTCATTTTTTTAATTCATATAGCATATCCATTGTAAGTCCCAAAACTGTTTCCACCTTTCTTTCTTTCTTTCTTTCTTTCTTTTTGATATTATATTTCATTCTTATTCTATTCTTCTTATTTTTTATTTCATTTATATTTTCTTTTATTTATTTTATATTTTTTTCATTTTCAAAAAATTTTCATCTCCTAATTAATTTAATTATCTTACTCTAAAAGATTCTAAAAATTTAAATTTGAATGTTACATTTTCTCATTCATCTAAACTCCAAGCTCCTAAACAGACTTGAATAGACTATCATATCTCTTGGCAAGCTCAAAGAGCATCTTTGCTAAGTGCTCATTTGTGATAGCTTGGGAAAAATCAGGTTGAAAAATTTTAGATGCTGTAGTTTATGAAGATTCTCTCATTTTCCCTTCCCTTTCTTTTCCTTTTTCTTATCTCTAGCCACTATTTCCTCATCGGTTTCAGCGTCTGGAATCCAATCTATACCTTTCAATTGCATCCTCATTTTTAACATGGATTTTTTGCAAAACTCTTTAAGGTCCTCCTCATCCCCTTCCACATATTGAATGTGATATCTATCAAGATATCCTTCTTTTGAGTACACAAGACCATTTTATGTGGAATGAAGTGGTAGAGGTTGAACTTCTCCCCCTTGATGATTATGGTTATCATTTCCAGCTCAATGTCATTGAGAACACTAAAGGTTGTTATCTTGTTTACTAAAAATCTTGTTACCACATAAGCTAAAATTTTATGCTTAAATGGGAGAGAAGTGGGTTTGAAAATGCACCCTTTATTCACATCATCAATCACTCTATCAACTTGTTGCTACTTTTGAAATGTTACATTTTGTTTATAATTGGCTTTATTGCTGTTGGAGTTGTTTTTGGATTTTTTAGTATGGTCTTTGCTAGTGTATAAAGTTCTACTATGCAAGGGGCTTGTTTAAAAAGCAGCCCATGCATAAAAAAAATTGTCAATGCTTATTTGATGGCTATTTATATAACCATAAAATATTTAGACCAAATTTGATGTTTATGAGACATAATTGTCAAATTTACCTCAGTTTATTTGACAGTTATAGTGAATAATCATCAAACAAGTTAATGAATAGCTTTTAAGGGCAATATTTGGGGCAATATATTTGGTAGTTACAAATAATTGTCAAATATGTTAAAATAAATATAATGGCTCTGTCTGGACTGGGATATGGAAACTCAATTCCTTAGAGATGCAGAAGTTTATTTGGTTAACCATGCGTGGTAGTCTACTAACAAACTCTAAATGTTACAAAAGGGGTATTAGTGACAATAACTTGTGCTCGTGCTGCCACAGAGAGGCTGAGGATATGTTGCACGCACTTTGAGACTCTGAAATAATGCAAAACTTGTATAAAAGTCCGATCCCTTCTTCTGCAAGAACACACCTCTTCAACATGGATCTTTAGGAGTGGGGAGATGGAATGTTTCCCCGTAGGCCAACAAAGATAAGGATGAATTGAAAGAATTATTTGCAATTGTGTGTTTGGACTGTTGGTGGTTATGAAGGCGCCGCAACCTTTTTGTGTTTGAGAAATGCAGAATGAGCAATGAGGTGATAATTTCATCCTTTATAGTGATGGTTTAAAGTGTTAGAGAAGCATGAGCAAAATTCCTAGGGAGGAAAATTATATTGCACTTGATCGAATTGGAATGTGGCAACCTCCTGGCCTTAAATAAGTGAAGAGTAATGTGGACGGCATATTCTTGCATTGAAACTTGAAGAGTGCTTGTTGTTAGAACTAGCGGGTAAATTTAAAGTCTGAGTTATGCAAAGAACACTATCTTTAAGAGCTATTTCGTCATACTAGATTATTTGCATGGTAACTCTCCAGGAGTAAATAAACTCATCTTGCAAATTAAGCAGGGCCACGGAATAACAAAGACTTATAAAATATACTCAAGTAGCACAATACATAAGAGGAGTTATGATGCTTGGTCTTATAGTCCTTTTGAGTGCATCAGAGAAGCTCTTACGAATCATGTTGAAAGATTGTATTGTAATAATGTCTTAGGAGATATAGGCTAATCCTGGCCTAGAATTCGTCTATTCTAAAACAAAAAAACATAATGATTAAATAATCCTAAAAAAAGGATCACCTCTATAAATGATGATTCTTTATAATCATCATTCATAGAGTAAAATAGCAGTCAAATATGATCGTTTTTGTTCTGTTGAAATTAAAAAATGATAATTATAACAGCATAATGAAAAAGGGTAAGAGAATATGTGAATATTGATTAACAAAAACCTATGAAGAAGTATAAAATTGCTTATTTAAATCATTTCTCAAGCAAAGTGTTGATGCATTCCTAAATATATTCCTTGATTATCAAGTTTTAGGATACAATTTATTTGAACTTTGAGAGAGACAAGGATAACTCTATATTTGTGTGAGGTTAAAATCATATTCCAAGTAAATTGTATTGTAGAAAATTGGAGAAAAACCATTTATAATTGCCTCAGTTCCAAAATTTAAAAATGGTTGAAAAATTTATAGTAAAACACTCTCACTATCCTTTTATTTTACTTTAATTATACAAACCTTTTCTCTATTTTGAAAACTTACAATTTAGTCCAATATGTTAACTTTGTTAGGAATACTCTAAAAACTTATTTTTAAATTAAAATTTATATTAAAACAAATTTTATTTACTAATTTACCCTTCACCCTAATAAAGCTTAAATTATATTGTTTTTATAGTTAACATAATTTTAAAAACATGTTTACAAATTATAAATTTAAATTATTTATATAATCTCTGGAACTTATATTATGTGATGAACAAAAAAATATATTTGAAATACGCTTTTAAAAATTTTTAAAAACATAAATAAATAAGTTTCCATAAATTTGATAAAAATTAAAATTTCATAACATGATAAAAATTAATCAATTTTGTAATATAATAAAAATTTCAAAATGAATTTATTATATTTTTAAGTTGTATGCAAAATATATTTTTTTTTGGAAAATATAGATTTTTAGATAATTCTTATATTAAAAGGGGGATTATGGTCAAATTAAAAATTTAAAAGTCAAACATAATGGTCAACTAATGATTGAATGGATGAAAATAGTATTCAAATATACAAGAAAGGTTTATGTAACTTTTATTTTAATTTCAAAGAAGATTTGTATGAGTTTTCAAGATAGGAGAGATATTTTATATTTAATACATAATAGAAAAGGCTGGTCAATATAGTTTATTTAAAAATTTAGTCTTACCTGACTAAGCATAGTAAAATAATAAGAAATTAAGAAAGATCTCCTAAAACTCTACAGAAATTAAGAATAAGAGTTGCCCGATTTAAATGGTGAATCAAAACCTTATAAGATTTAGGGAGGGAAAAAGATTTTATCATGAAAAGAAAAATAATAAAATAGTTTTCTTACATCGAAATTTACACACACATATATACATATTATATTTTTTAATTAAATATAATTGTAATTATATTAATATATATATATATATATATATATATATATATTTCCATTCCCTATATACCGAACCATAGTGCTGTCCCCCGAAAAACTTTCAGCGTGATTCTCCCCGACTTCAAAAGCTGCAAAAGCCAGAGGTAATCATCAAAATCTTCTTCCACAGGTTTTCCGATTTCTTAATTTCATCTTCTTTCTCTAGAAAATTTCATAGCTGACTTCTTTTTCCTTGTTGGCCATGTTAACAATATGCTGTTTTTTCCCTCATAATTCGATGCTGCAATTTAGCCTTGATTTGAAATGTTGATTTTTGCTTTCCTTTTTCTTTTCTTTTGTTTGTGGTTGTGGATGGTGAGGATTTACAAATTCCCATGCGCGTTTTGTTATTTCTCCGAAATTTGATTGTGGAAGTGGAGAATTTCTGTATTTTGCCCCCCTTTTTATGGCAACCCTGCGCTATCTCATTCAATTATTGTCTTCACGGTTAGTTATGGTTTTTAACTTATTGTTGCTTGTCTGAATCTGTCAAAATTTACCTCTTGATGGGTGTAGCTTGGTTGATGTTTCTACCGTAAATTGGTAACGCGCGATGTTTCTAGGCATAATAGATTATCTGTTGTGTAGAACAGAAGAGAGTAGAGAAGAATTGAAGAGGAAAGAGAAGAATTGAGGGACAAAGTTGAGAGTTTCTGAATAGTACTCAGGATGTTATTAAGCATAAGATTAAATAAGGTACAAGCTATTCCCTTTGTATAAGAATTATATGGGAAGCTAACCAAACTAACCAACCAACGGTTCTCCCTATATTTATTCTAATTATATCAATTACATATCGATACCCCCCTTAAGAATCCTTGACTTTAAGGGTCAGAAACTATAAAAGAAGGGCGTTGCGTCTGCAACTGAAATAAGGAAATCCAGCTTGCTTCAAAATCGGGAAGACCCTTCCACTTTATAAGTACCTCTGTAATGATCCTCCTTTTTCCCTACCCACTCGTTTATTCAATTTTCTTTCCGGAATTAGATCTGAAGGAGGCTCTGGCCAATCAAGAGGGGGGTACCATTGCTTAACAGAAGGATCAGGGTATACCTTGAGCAAAGATAATGAAAAGTGGAGTGAACTCTTGACTCTGGAGGTAACTGCAGCTTATATGCCACTGGACACACTTTTTTACAGATTCTGTTGGGTCCAAAATACCTTGGAGCTAATTTCTGAGAGCTCTTGATGCTGCAGGAATTTGGTGATAAGATTGCAACTTGAGAAACACCCACCGCCCCACCTCGAATTCTCTATCACTCCTTTGCAAATCAGCTTTTTGCTTCTTTCTGTCACAGCCCTGTTGAGGTGGTATTTTGCTATCCCTAAAGCCTCTTCTCTTGCTGAAAAGGTTCTATCCACAGCTTCTGCAGCCACATCTCTAGGAAAATAGAGCACATGCATTGGTGGAACCTGTCCATATAGTAATTCATAGGGAGTAGACTTGGTAGAAGTGTGATACGGGGTGTTATGCCAGCATTCTGCCAAAGAGAGCCACTTACTCCACTCTTTTGGGTTTTTCCAACACATACTCCTCAAGTAATTCTCCAAAGATCTATTGAGTACTTATGACTAACTGTATGTTTGTGGATGATAAGAGGAAGTAAACTTTTGTTCCACCCCCAAAACCTTCAAAAATTCCTTCAAAAAGTACTAATAAAGAGGGGATCTCTATCACTAATAATCTCGATTGGAGCTCCATTTAACTTGTACACATTATCAAGGAAATGTTATGCCAAAGTAGATACTGTAAAAGGATGAGATGAAGGCAAGAAATGTGCATATTTACTAAAACAATCAATAATTACCCAAATTGTATCCTTCCCATTTGACATGGGCAATCCTTCAATGAAATCCATAGTCACACTCTCCCAAACTTTACTTGGAATAGGTAGAGGCTGTAGTAGACCCAAGTGAGCCACTGATTTAGATTTACACCGAGCACATGTATCACAATGCTTCACAAATTCTTTGACATCCTGAAATAATTTCTGCCACCAAAACAACTTTTTAACTCTTTGATAGGTAGCTTGCACACCAGAATGCCCTCCTTGTGGACTAGCATGAATCTATTCCAGAATTTTCTGCCTCACACCAGGGATATTTCCCACTACTAATCTGCCATTTTTCCTTAAAAACTGATTATCCCAAGTATACTTTCCTTCTGCGTCTCTATGCTGTTGGCCTGTTGCGAATAAGCCTTTAGCCCTTTACAGCTCTCACATCCATATCATCATCCCAACTCTTCTGAATTTCCAGGAAAAGAAAATCTGAACAGGTATGAAGAGACACTTGAAATACCTCATTTTTAGGCATCCTTGAAAGTGCATCGGCTAGATTATTATTATTGCCCTTTTTTAAGTGAATTTCACAGTCATATCCCATGAGTTTGATCACCCATTACATTTGGAATGCTGTCTTCAATTTCTTGCCCAGCATTGTTAATCAATTTTAATAACAAATTGCCTCCCTTCAAGATATTGGTGCCAATGCTCCACAGCTTGCACTACCCCAAGCAATTACTTCACATAGATAGAAAGATTCAGATGTCGAGGAGCCAAAGCCTTCTGAAAAAGGCTGTGGGTTGACCTTGTTGCATAAAGCAGCACCAATTCCAGAATTACAAGCATTGGTTTCGACCACAAACACTTTAGAAAAATCTGGAAGGGCAATAATAGGGGCTGCAACGAATGTTTCCTTCAACTTTTTGAAGGTGGAAGCAGCTACTTCTGACCAGTGGAAATTGTTCTTCTTGAGCAAGTCCGTTAGAGGTCTAGTTAAAGAGCCATAGCCCCTAATAAACCTCCTATAACAGCCAGCAAGCCCCAAAAATGATTGTAGTTGCTTCACAGTGGTTTGTTTTGGCCATACCAGGATTGCTTTGATCTTCTTTAGGTCAGTTGAAATCACTCCTCTACTGATAATACGTCCCAAGTTTTCTACTTGAGTTGCAACAAAGGTACGCTTGCTTTCCTTCACCCAAAAAAAAAAAAAAATTTCCTCAGAATTTCCAGAACCATACTCAAATGATGAATATGAGTTTTTAAGGAAGGGCTATAAATCAAAATGTCATCAAAAAAATAGCACAAATTTTTCTTAAATACTCCCTGAAAATGCTGTTCATTGTGCCCTAACAGTTGCAGATGCATTAGTGAGCCCAAAAGGCATCACTAACTACTCATAGTGGCCTGAATGAGTGCGGAAGGCTGTCTTGTAGATGTCATTGGGCTCCATCCTGATTTGATGGTAACTCACCCTTAGATCCAGCTTAGTAAACCATCTAGGCTCCTTTAATTCATCAAGAAGTTCTTCTACAAGAGGAATAGGATATTTATTTTTGATCGTTCTCTCGTCAAGTTCATGATAATCTATGCACATATGCAAAGACCCATCTTTTTCACCAACATGATTGGTGATACGAATGGTGAAGAGCTTTCTTGAATGACTTTTGATGGTAGTCAATCCTTCACCATGTCTATAATAGCATTCTTTTGAGCTGCTGGATGCTTATAGGGTCTTAAATTGACTGGGTTGGAACCTTCTTGTAAGATGATAGGGTGATTGTCACCCTCTCTCAAGTGAGGAAGGGACTTAGGTTCCTTAAAAACTTCTACAAATTGAGCTTGCAATTGACAGCAATGAAGCCCTTCGTCAAAATTTTCCAATAGTTGCAGCAGAAACATCTGTCCCCCAGCTTCTAAATCACCTTTAATCTTAAAATCGACAATTTTACATCCTTTTGACTCCTGAGACTACAATCTACACGCCTTACCATTATACCAGAAGATTATAGACAAATTATCATAATTATAATGAGCCTGATGGATGGTTTTAAGCCATAATAAAACCTAAAACCATGGCGTAGGTTCTGACTTCCATTATTTGAAAATCTCCTTCAAATTCTTCACCTTGCATTCTCCACTTGACTCCTTTCAAAACACCATAAACCTTCAATTTTCCACCTCCAGCTACTTAAACTTCTGCCACAGGGTGAGAGTCGCACATTGCTGATTTTAACCAAAGCTAGTGTACAGTCAATGTAGGCATTCAAGGCTCCATTATTAGTGAGAATTTGTATCTGTCTCAGACCCACATACTCTTGAATTTGCAGAGTAGAGGGTCCTACACTCCCTTGTATCGCATGTAAGGATATTTGCAAACATTTTGATTGCTCCGGGACACCTTTAGTCCTTTCATGAACCTCCATGTTTTGACCTATGTTATCTTTGGCCTCCTTTACACCTTCCTCTAATTCAATAAGCTACAACTGCATCCTCTATGTTTGGACACATACATGATCTCTAGAGAAGGGTTGGTGATAGTAGAAGTAGAGATCTTGGGCCATAATTCCTTTACTCCATTTGGGCTCAATGTTCCAGAGTTTTTGGCTTGATTTCTTGAAGACCTACTACTTGTATTAGAAGAAACAGAGGTGAAAGATGTGTTTTTGGAAGACAAATTATTGAAATTCAAGGTTTGGACGTTTTTACCCTTGTTGAAGTGGCACCCATTAGTGCCAGATAAGGGCTTTGCACCATCCCACATATTCAAACCCACCGATCTTCTTTGAGATCCATCAAGAAACCCTGCCAACTGCCGTCGTCATTCTTAGTCTTATGTCAACACTTTAGGAGAAAACATTTGTGCATGACCGTGTGCTAGAGTTGTGTCCCTTCACATGAGCTTTTTGGTGATTGACGTCGTGCTATAGCTCTTGCTTTGCTATAGCTTTCTGGTGACCAACGGCTTTGATACCATTGTTGTGTAGAATAGAAGGGAGTAGAGAAGAATTGAAGAGGAAAGAGAGGAATTGAGGGACAAAGGAGAGAGTTTCTGAATAGTACTCCGGACGTTATTAAGCATTAGAGAAAATAAGGTACAAGCCAACCCCTTTATATAAGAAGCTAACCGAACTAACTAACAAATGGTTCTCCCTATGTTTATTCTAATTATATCAATTACATATCATTATCATGTGACTTTATCCTTCTAATGCTATATGGTAGATTCTTGCTCACAAATGAAAAGTTCCTTCTGTTTTGTTGTCCCCCCCCCCTGAATACCCGTAATCTAGCTTAGTTGCAATTGTTTGATACTGGATTTGGACTAACAGTTCAGTCTTATGAAGTAAGATAGAGTATATAGGAAATGAAGGGAAGCAGATTGAAAAGATCTTGATCGGGACTGCATGTATCTGATGTTGAATTTCGGTGATTTTTTGTGCTTATGAGAGCTGTTATGATGAAACTGATCATACCCGCTTGAATTTTGCAGCTCAAACATGCAAACTCCTTCAAGCCTGCACAAAATCTCTGTAACATGGAGGGGTAAGAGGTTTGTCATAGAGATGAATTCAGGTGCCACAGTCAAGGAGCTAGGAGAGGAGTTGCAAAAGCTGACTAATATCCAAGAAGATACTATGCGTCTCATTATTCCACTGGTTTCCAGCAAAGCCTCAAAATTGATGTCTCCCTTCTCTGCAGAGCATGCTTTCTTAAGTCTGCATGAAGCTTCCATTACTGAGGTACCCCATCATTTACTAATACTGTAGCTCTGACATTTAATCATTGGGGTATGGAATTAATATTATGTATATAATTTTATATCTTTCTGTGTTATTGTTCTTTGACATTTTACTTTATATTGCTCTTTGCAACCTAATTAATACAACAAGAAGTTTTATTCCATTAGGCGGGGTTGGCTATGGAGCCTAATTAATATCAGCAGTAATTTTTCTCCCATGAGGACCTTTGTCGATCAAATGGATTCAAAGAATGGGCTTGAGTCTATATAACTTGATAGTTTCATTTTAAAAATTGTCCTCTGAACCTGTAAGAGAGAATTTGTTGATGGACAGAAGTTCATCTGCAAATACCTGTGTGGTATCATTTGAGTAATGGATGAAAAAAGTTGCATCATGTCTTTTAGTGAGTATTTATGATTACCAATGGGAGAGTTTGAGATTATCAAGACAAGTCCAATTGCTATCTTCTGGATATTTTTGGGACAGACAAAGAAATACTCCTTTTTGCATTTAAAAATAAACCACCCATGATGATGGTGGCCGTATTGACTTGAATATTTTGCTTATTGTTCCCCTAACCATTCATTGTTCCTCTACAGGCTAAGTCAATAAAAATGATGGGTGTGTCAGCAAATGAAGTTGAGCAAGTTCTACAAGACACAAGGGTAAATTTAAGGATAGCTGGATTTGAGGATGAGGAAAAGAGATTGAAACAAAGAAGTTCATTTGGACCTGTTTCATTGAAGCTGCCACAAGGGCCTTATATCTTTAGTGAGTTTCGGACACTTGAAATTCCAGGAATGGAGGTATATTTTAGCATGTGAGTTTTAGTATCTATCATCTATCATATTTGCTAAAGCAGAAAAATGACTTGGCGGATCCACAAATGGTTGGCTGCATCAATGTGTGACACAGATGATTCCAATGTTAGGCCTTTCTAAGTATACTGCTAGATGTTTCTAATTTGAAAAGAGAGGGAAGGAAATTGAATTAGAGAGAAGAAGAGAGGTCGAGAGGGTAGAAGAAGGTTTAGAAGAGAGAAGAACAGAGAGGGATAATCTGAATAGTATGCTGTATATCCTCGTTCAAGTTCAAGTCACAGTCTGAATTGCAATTAGGTACCTATTTATAGGCTTTATCACACCCATAACTAACTTCTATAACATCCTTGTGTGTCACTTGCGTTTATTATGATTATTTATCAATACTTCCCAAAAGAGACCCTTGCCCTCGAGGATCAAGTGCAGCTAAATCCTAAGGTACATTCTAGGAGGGAATGGCATATAGAATCCCTTGCTCGGGTTTTCCAAATTGTGAACAAGGAATTGGATGGAATTTTTTTTTTTTTGGAATTATCACCAAGATTGACAAGAAGTTGCTTTGATTAGAAATCATGCTTGGGCTGTTTCATTTTAGTTTCCATTAGCCATTAATGGCGTAGGCCCTCACTAAATTAGCTATCTTGGCAGCTCAGTCTTTCTACTGGCATAGGCTAATGGATGTGACTGACCAGTAGAACTGGAAAGGATCAGTTGAAAAGAATGACCATTGTGATACATGTTAGAACAAGGCATCATTGTTGTGGATTGAGAAAATGTAACAAGCATGACATTTTGGCTTGCTAACGTGTTTTTCTTAATGCTGCATTTGCCAAACCATCACACTCTTTGCCAACTTTTTCATGATATGAAATTTGTAAGGGAGATTGCCCAACTGACCATCGATGAAAATTATAATTGTTTATTTGCAGCTGAACCCTCCTCCTTCTGAGGCATTAAAGAGAATGCATATGCTTGCTGCAGATCCTGGAATTGTTGCCATCATGAACAAGGCATGATTTAATGTATTTCCTGATAATAAAGATATCATTGATCCATCATGGCATGATTGCACAACTTCTAATTGATGTTTAAATTTCATCTTTTAGCATCGTTGGCATGTAGTTATTATGACTGAGATGGCGCCTATTGGGTATGTTGGTGTGAGCCCGAAGTGCATTCTTGGTTTCAACAAGGTAGTGCCTTGTCCTGGATGAGGTTTACAAAAGTCTTAATACCCAGCATTATCTTTTTGATTTCACTCATTTTTGTTATTCTTCATAGAACCATGGAGAAGAAATATCTCTGCGACTGCGAACTGATGACCTCAAGGGTTTCAGGAAATATGAAAGCATCAAGAAAACTCTCCTGCATGAACTTGTAAGATATAGAAATAACCGTTCTTAGTCTGCATGGATGTGAAAATATTAACTTTCATGTTTCATCATAAGTATCAACTGTTCATATCGAATCATTCTCAGAAAAATATGGGGTTTAATGCCTAGTCATCAAATATTCTAATTAAGCTAATTAATAAAAATGATATTGATGTAGCCCTTGTATTATTATGCTGATAATAAATTGGAAAAAAGCCTCTTCTATGAGCTATTGAAGAGGAAAAAAGTTCAAAATCACTTACTGCCCCTTGGTGAGCTACTAGACATGGAAATACAGCCAAATAGACACACAACGCTTATCCCACTAGGGCATGCTAATCCTCTCAACCATTCAATTTAGTTCATAGTGATGTTTGGGGACCATCCAAAGTCAAAACCATAATTGGGGTACAATAGTTTGTCAATTTGATTGACGATCACACATGATTAACATGGGTTTACCTTCTCAAAGACAAATCCAAGGTTCCAATTTTTTTCCCCCAGAAATTTCATGCCTTAATTCAAAATTTGTTTCTTGTCCAAATGAAAGTTCTCTGAACTAACAGTACCCACAAATACTTTTGCTCTACTTTTGAAAATTATCTAACCCTTCACTGGATTTACCACCAAAGTTCTCAACCTTGTACACCACGGCAGAATGGTGTCTCTGAAAGAAAATATATACAAATTCTTGACATGGCATGATCCCTTATAATCAATTGATCCCCCTTCCAAAACTTCGAATTTCAAAACACCATAACAGATTCTGCTTGAAACTTGTTCTACCACCTTGATCATGAACACACTACCACTCATAGTGTTTGGATGTACAGCTTATGTCCACACCTCTCACGCCTTCAAACTTGAAGCTTGAGCCATGAAGTGTGTAGTTCTAGGTTATTCTCAAACACAAAAAGGGTGCAGGTGCTACCATTCTCCCTCTTACAAATTCTATCTTCATTGATGTATCTTTTGCGAAACACAGCCATACTACCAAACAATGCCCGTTCAGAGGGAGAATCAGGGAGTAAATGCAAACAAATGGCCATTTTCTGAGTCTCACCAATCTGTCCACCCTTCATACATTCGGCCACTGACCGAGCCTGAAAATGCACTAGGAAAACCTAAATCTAGACCTGCACAGCATGAAAATGTCTCAGCTGGTAATGCTAATGATAACGGCCACTTTGAGGATTGTGATCAGACTGTACAGCAGAGGTACAGCAGCAAATATCTGCTCTCGTTCAGCCACCAAGGAATGAAGGATGAGGTACATCACACCAATCATCTACTTCAACCCCAAATCTGCAGTCTGATGGTCTAGGGCTGCCCCATTGCATTGAGAAAAGGGGTAAGATCTTGCACCAAACATCCTATCCGTAATTTTGTATCATATGACAAATTGTCTCCTACTTGGAGAGCTTTTACAGCTAGTATTTTAGCTGAAAATATCCCAAAGGATGTCAATAAGCCATGAAAAGTCCAGAGTGGACAGATGTAATCAATGAAGAGATGGAGGCATTGATTAAAAATGGCACCTGGGAGTTGATTATGCTTCCAAATGGCAAGTCAACAGTGGGAAGCAGATGGGTGTTTACTGTTTACTAAGAAGTGCAACCCAGATGGAACAGTGAACAAGTATAAGGCTAGGCTGGGTGCAAGAGGATTCACACAACAATATGGGATCAATTATCAGAAAACATTTGCTCCAGTAGCTAAGTTCAATACAATCAAGGTATTGCTTTGCTTGGCAGCTAACCTTGATTGGCCTTTGCACCAACTAGACATCAAAATTGCCTTTCTCAATGGAAATTTGGAAGAGGAGGTATACATTGATATTCCTCCAAGATTCAGAGATAATTAAAATTAGAACAGGTTATGCAGGTTACATAAGTCTCCATACGGTCTTAAGCAATCTCCTCAACCGTTGTTTGAAAGGTTAACTCAAGCAGTAAAGAAAAAAGGGTATAATCAATGCCAAGCAGATCATACTTTGTTTGCAAGTACTGTGATGAGAAACTATTTTGATACTCTATGTTGATGACATAATCATCATTGAAGATGACATCAGTGAGTTAGAAAGTTTGAAGATGCTAGCTGCTTAGTTTGAGATCAAAGATTGAGGAACCCTACGGTATTTCCTAGGCATGGAAGTGGGCAGATCCAGACATGGTATGCCAGCTACTACCCCTTTGGAGATGAATCTTAAATTGGGATTAAAGAAGATTGAGCTCTCGTTAATAGCGAGAGATATCAGTGCCTGGTGAGCAAACTAATTTACTTATCTCACACAAGACATAGTAGCTCCTTTGTAGTTGGTGTAGTGAGTCAGTTTGCAGGTAAACCAAATAAGGATCATATGACTGTAGTATATAGGATACTGCGTTATTTGAAGAATACACCAGAGAAAGGTCTATAATTTATACAAGGAAGCAATAGGGGAATTGAAGTTTATTTTGATGCTGATTATAGAGGATCAACTATAGGCTAGTGTACCTTTGTGTGGGGAAACATGGTAACGTGGAGAAGCAAGAAACATTATGTTGTATCATGAAGTAGTGCAGAAGCAGAGCTGGAGCACTAGCCTTTGGAATATGTGAAGGCATATGGCTTGATATATCCAACGAAAGTTTTCTTGATAACAAAGAAACTATTAAGATTGTAAATGACTTGGTGCATTATGACAGAATTGTTGATGCTGCATGCATTCCTATACATCAGCAAGTTGCAGATGTGCTAACCAAAGGCCATATCAAAACCTAAATTTGAAGGCTTAACAAGCAAGCTAGGAATGATGAACGTTTATTTTCCAGCTTGAAGGGGAGTGTTGCAGGGCACTGATGGCCCAAGCCCTTTTAGAAAGGATCTCCTCTAATTTAATCTAATAACAGATATTTGTTTCTTTTTATATTATTCTGTTTTCATATTAGGTTGTGATCTAATTCTATCAGATTATAGTTTTAATTTTCTGGATTCTCTTTGATTGGCTTGTAACAAACCTAGTTTTCTCCCTATATGTGACCTATGACTGCCATAACTAAAATCGAAGCTGAGAACACAATTGCTCAGCCAATTGTCAAGGCTTGGAGTGCCCCAAGTAAAGAAGAAAACTTTCGTAAATCATCTTTTATAGCATGAAAACGTTTTTTAGAGTTTTCTGCCATCTCTTGTTGATTCTTTTGGGACCTTGTCTCTGGCATACAAGCTGAGGAATGTCTGCCCTGCTCCTCTGATGAATAGACTGAATAATACTTCTCAGATTACTCAAAAACATAATTTCTGATTTACAAACACCCCCTTTATATAGTTACTGACTCGTTAACTCCCTTTACCTCTGACAGTTACTAACTAATAACTACCCCTTTTATTATTTACAAATTACACATCACATAACTTCTCAGTAAACAACCTTTGCCGGCCTCTTGTAAGTTGGCGAGTAACCCAAATGACCACCAAGTGGAGAATTATGAAGTTACGTGATTAAAGATATTGTTTTTTGGGTGATTTGCGTAGTAACAGCAGCCTCCTGGAAACGCTAAGCAGCCATTTTTCAATCTTTGCATCACTGGTACCTCTTTTATAGTGAATACCTGTTGCCATAAGTTGTACAATTTTTCATCTTTAGCCACTTCAGAAGCAAACTCTTCTAGGCTAGGGATATTGCCGAAACAGAAAGGCAATAAGCTCAATATCTTGATTCTCACAACGGGATAAAGAATCAGCTGCATGAATCTCTTTTTTGGGCTTATAAATAATGAATTTCAAACTTGTAGCCCATAAGTTTAGAGACTCACCTCTTCTGATCAGGGTCATTTGTTTTCTAGAGCAGCCGGTCTGGTCTGGTCTGGTTTTTAAAACCTTGGAGCTTACTGTTTTGATGATAAATTGCCTCCCGGTTAATTAATGTTGCCACCTCTTGATTGCAAGCGTTGTGGCGATCAACTCCCTTTCATATATTGATCCTTGACGAGCCTTTGGTGACAGTTGCTGACTAAAATAGGCAATTGGCTTTCCTTGTTGCATTAGTACAGCTCCTACCCCAACCCTGGAAGCATCAGCTTCAACTACCAATGGTAGGTTGAAATTTGGCATAGCCAAATAAGTTGCTTAAACCATAGCCTCTTTCAACCAATCAAATGCCTCTTCAGCTTGATCATTCCACTAAGAAGCGTCCTTCTTCAACAGTGCAGGCAAAGGTGTTCCTATTTTGCCATAACCTCTGATAAATTTTCTGTAATAACTAGAAAGGCCTAAAATCCCTTCAAGCTCTTCAAATCCTTTGGTTTAGGCCACTTTTGCATAGCTTCTACCTTGCTAGGATTGGCCTTCACCCCTAGGCAGAAATAGTATGTCCCATATACTTGAGCTGTGGCTGGGCTAAGACATTTTTTTTAATTAATGATTAATTGATGCTGTTGTAATGCCTTCAATGTCAGCTTCAAGTGTTCCCAATGTGTTTTCTCATCTTTGCTGTACACTAGTATGTGATTTAAAAAAAAAAAGGAAGTATGAACTTCCTCAAGTAATTTCTAAAGATGTCATTTGTCAAAGATTGAAAAGTAGATAGGGCATTAATAAGCCTAAAGGCAATAACTAAAAACTCTTAGTGATCATCATGAGTTCTAAAAGTACTCTTATATTCATCCCTATGTTTAATTCAAATTTGGTGATAACTTGATTTAAGATCAAGCTTGGAGAAAATTGTGGCAACCCCTAATTCATCAAGCAACTCGTCAATAGTAGGGATCAAATACTTGTCTGGAACAATCGCCTTAATGCTCTATGGTCTACACAGAAACGCCATCTACCATGTCTTTTCCTCAAGCAATACTGGACTAGAATAAGGACTATTGTGGGGTGTAATTATTCCAGCTTCAATCATATCTTTTACCATCTTTTCAATTTCTGCTTGATAAGCATATGCATACCTTTATGGTCAAGTATTGGGTGGCTGTACTTCTCCTTTGATTACTATAGCATGGTCTTTTGATTGGTGTGGGGGTAAATCCTTAACTGGTTCACGAACACTTGTGAATTTCTCCATCAATCTCTAAACTCCTGGGAATTCAGTGGCAGTTTCTTCACTTTGTTCCATTATGCAGTGAAATAGTGTTTATCTCCAGCATGTATGTTTCTCCCTTGTCCTTCACCATTCGTTTGGATAAGAAGAAAAGTTGAAAAAAAAAGAAAATGAGAGGAAAGAAATTGGAGAGAAGAGAAAACTGAAAAGAAAATGTTATCACTCCTCATGTTTGAATGAGCAAAGAAAAACAGGAAGGAGAGAAAATGAGCAAACATCACAATGACTATAATACCGTCATATCAAAATATATCATGTTTCATGTAATATCTTCATAAAAATAAGTTGAGGAACAAAATTATATTAAAATTAACATCTTCAAAATAATTTAAAATCGAATTAGTTATTGATAAAAATACTTTTTTATTTAAATTATTAGTATTTTATTATCACCATAAGCTTACACCTATTTTTTCCCAGAAGTATGTTTAAAAGCCTGTTTTCTTCTCCTTTCAATACTAGCTTTTGTTGTCCATCTCGCCATTTAATAAATATATATGTATTGAAATTAGATGTTGATGATAGGAACTAATGAAGAGGGGCGTATGTGTATGATGCTTTACAGAGCAGAATTGGATATAAATGTTAGTGAATCCAGGATATTCAACAATGTCAGTAAGAGATGAGGAAAGAAAGTGGAAGATGCTGATGCAAGAGGGGCAGAGTGGCAAAGATGATTGTCCTGGGCGGAGAAGTCTCGAAGGTGATGGTGAAGATGAAGAGAACAAATTAAAGTAATGAAGCATGAGGGCAGAGTTTGAAATGAATTTCTCTTCTCAAAATCTCTTCATGTGTGGAGAGAAAATGTGGTGGGTCCTACACCTAATTTTCTCTCCTGCTTTTCCTTCCTCCCACTTTTCTTTCTTCATCCAAACAAGAGAAAACTTGTTTTCTCTCCTCTTTTCTCTCCTAGTTTTCTTTTCTCCCATATTCTCAATCCACATCCAAACAGAGCATCAAAGTTCTAGTAAAAGCTTTTGAGACACTAGTATTTGTTTGAGGGTCTGGCCACCCTTGAAGCACACCCACTTCTTGTTGACCTTCTCTTTCATGTTTAGTTATCTCCAATTCACTGTTGTCTCCCCAATGACTCCAATCATTTAATCCCAAGTGCCACATCTATGTTCTCTAAAGGGAATGAATCATTAGTCTGTATAATCCTCATCCCTTGCAAGTCAAGTTCTACATCTGCACATTTTCCTTGTAATTATCTCTTACTTCTATTGCCCACAGCCAGAGTAATAAGCAGTTGGTATTACTTCAACTCCCAACTCCTTGATTAGTTGCATAGATATGAAATTATGGGTAGCCCCACTGACATAAGAACTACCACAGATCTGTCGTGTAATTTCCCTCTCAACTTCAGAGTCTTGTGTTGAGCTAATGCCACCACTGATGTATGAGAAAGCTCCATAGTTGCCAACTCCTTTTCTTGAAACTCATCTTCCAACTCTATGAAATCTCTTTCACCAATTTCAGCAATATTCTCATCTTTTACAACCATCAATTGCAACTGTTTACCTTGCACTTATGGTTTGGCCCAAACTTCTCATCACATTTGAAAGAAAGGCCCAGTTATCTTTTGCGATTCAACTCAGCCTCTGGTAGTTGTCAGGTTCTTTAATTGTTTCTTCTCCCACTACTTGTAGTAGTTATTGGTATAATAACTCTGTTGCCTGACACTTCTGTAGATTCCCCCTCTTTACTTCCTGTTGCACGTGTAGCAGGGGCCGCAATCTAGTTGTTACCATCTTTTTTACCCCTTCACCAGCCTTAACATTCATTATCTCAGTATCAACACTGAATTACCATCTTGTGACGGAGGAATGTTCTGAAGCAGAGCAAGAATGCTTGAGTTTTGCTTCTGGAGTTAGCTACACCATTCTTTTCATCATTGCTCTTTCATCTAGTCTCAACGTTAACTCTTTCATATCTCATTCACAATGGTTCCAATGCTTTGTAGCTTGCTCATTGCCTTCTCAGCATTTTTAACCCTTGATTCCATTCTCGTACCCTCATTGCCTTGGATGGCGACCTGACTTTGATACCAAGATTGATGTAGCCCATGTGTTATCATGCCAATAATCAATAGGAAAAGCTAGTACAAGCCTCTTGTATGAGTTATGGAAGAGGAAAAATTTTCAAAATCACTAACTCTCCTCAGCTTTTGGAAATGTAAATACAGTAAAACAAATGGAGAATGACAATAACTTCCCCGACATTTGAGAGGTCAGGGCTCTCGCAAAACCATGACATTAGCTGCCCCCTCACCAGTGGCTCACAACCATTGATAATGAAAACCCCCTCCATCCTTCCTGCTTCCATTAGGATATGGGCCGCCTACCTCTTCAGTATTCTAGCCTATATTACCGTTTGAAGTCTGTTTCATCATGTTGGGCTTGTTAGGCTTCTCCCTCTTGTATATTTGGCCCTTTGATAGATTGGGCTCATCGGATGTAAATATAATTATTGAACTAATGTGTCTTGTACTTGTTTCAGGCTCACATGGTATACTCTGAGCATGATGCCAATTTTTATGCTCTGGATAATTATTGAACTAATGTGTCTTGTACTTGTTTCAGGCTCACATGGTATACTCTGAGCATGATGCCAATTTTTATGCTCTGGATAAACAGGTTTTGCTCAAGTGTCTTTCCTTGACTTGGTTCATAATTATACCCCGTCCAATGAGTTGGCTTATTCTGATATTGTTTTTTGGCAGTTAAATCAAGAAGCTACTAGTTTAGATTGGACTAAATCTGCTGGCAACACCTTGGGAGATGTCAGAAGTTCTGACTATTTTGAAGAAGATTTTGAAAGAAAAAATAGCAATGTTCCTCAGAAGGTTGGAGGTAATAGGTCTGATCTGCTAGCAAGTGCTCGGGCTTCCTCTGTTGCTGCTGCTTACTACCGGATGACTAATGCATCTGCCCAAAAGGCTCAAAGGTCTGCAGTGAATGAAGAGCCAGATTCAGATGATTCTAGTTTGATAGCAAGTGACAGATCTGATCATATGAATTCCGAATCAAAAGAAATCATGGATATGAATATGATTTCTCATGCTGAGAGAGGACCTTATAGTGAGCCTGATCCAGATGATCATGTCACGAAGGTAATGAAGCATGAGCCTGATCCAGATGAATCCAACGATGTAACAGCATTAAGTTCTGATGGTTCTAATTCATTACGTTCTTTTGTTACTGTAAGTGTTGGACCTCAAGATATTGAATGCAAGAATTCTGAAGAATATGCTCAAAATGAACCCAATACTAAAGTAGCTGTACTGGCTGAACCTGATCCTGATGATTTGGTAGTGCCTCTGCCAGAATTATCTGCAATGCAAACTGATGAGCCAGATCCTGATGATCAAGAATCAGAGAGGATCGATGTTCCTGTGACTGTAAATGTTGGACCTCAAGCTATTGGAAGAAGCAGTGCTTCTAAAGAAATTGCTCATAATGGACCTAATGCTGAAGTAATTGTGCTGGCAGAACCTGATCCCGATGATGTGGTGGTGCCCCCGCCGGAGTTATCTACAATGCAGATTGATGAGCCTGATCCTGATGATCAAGAATTACAAAGGATCAATGACCCTGTGACTGATGTTTGTAACCGTCTGCAGAAAACCCTGGAAGTGCTGAGAGCTGAAGCTAGCCCCCTGCAGACTGCCTCAGTTCTCCAAACTCTCATAAAAATTATCAGGTAGTTTGATATTTGAGAGTATTTATGTTATGTTTTGCTTGAAAGAAAGGATTGCGAATTAATGGAAAAGGGGAGGGAACAATGTAAGAGAATGGTTTGATATAATGAAAATGCTCTCCCTATACATTCATTGTAATCAATGATGGCTCAATTTTATTCCATCGAAAACCCAATGGAATGATGCACCATTCTTGGAAATCTAAGCCAAAGTGTCAATCTTGTTCCTAAACCGAGCTTCCACATACAGTTGAGCAGGGAGAGGCAACGAGGGAATTTGTTAGATAACCAGAATTCAAATATTAAGGGCAGTTGGGTCAATTATTATTGTATCTTTTCCATTCCTTTCATTTTTACTCTACCAAACATAGTAATGCAAAAATTTCCCTATTTTGTCTGAAGTATGTCAAACGAGATTTTGAATAATATCATTCTTTTGTTATTCCCATTTCTTTATCTTCTCCTTCATAATCTATTCCAACCAAGCATACTAGTCTTGTTTTTGTTGACTTCCACTTCCTTTGAGGCACTTCAGAAATTATATTTTTATCCTATATGTTCCCTTTGGCATGGTAATTCAAGCCTAATAATTGTTTGCCACTTGACAACAGGAATGTGATTGAACACCCTGATGAGATGAAATACAAAAAGCTCCGAAAGGTACGATTTGCCTGACCTTTCGTCTCTAGTACATGCTGTATCCGTGGCCTGACTAAAAATATCGAAACTACTCTTTTTTTTGCAGGCTAATCCTGTTATAGAGACGAATGTTGTGAACAATAAAGGTTTGCATATTGACACTGTAGGGTTTTAATTTAATTATTGTAATATGGAGAGCTCCTGATTTAGTTTTATGACTGAATATTTCAGAGATCTTAAACTACTTGTGCAAGGGGTTTGGATAAAATTGAATAGCATCAATCTCCTACCATATTTTGTCTCTTCGGGATTGGATTGTTATTATTTCACCTTATCTACTAGGTTTCTACATAGGAATGTCAGAGAGAAAATACTAATGAACACAGTACTAAATTAACAATGGGTTGATTCTATACATCAGCTTGAATTTGTGCCACAGCCTTATTTTTCCTTCTTCTTCTTTGTTTTTTTTTTTTTTAATGTTGCAGCTGCATTGGAAATTTTGTTCTTGGTTGGCTTCAAGGAAGATGTCATGTTTGATGAGCTTGGTAAGCCAGAATCTTACCTAATACTGAAGCGGAATGATCCTGGCTTATTGTGGTTGGCTAAGTCTTCGCTTGAATCATGCACTAATTTATAGGCCAAAGCAGAGTCTGGAAAACGAATGAGAATAGTGAAGAAAATGTGATTTTATCCGCATTGCTGTACTGGGATGATCAAAGATAGACACTTTGTATTGTCCAACGAGTAGTCTATACATACAATTTGTAAATAACAAAAAGTATTGCACATAGGAACATTGAATTTGGGGATGATGGAGGATTGGTTATGCTGGTGGATGAAATCGTTTACCATGTAAGATATCCAGCACGTTGTGAGCTTGCCAAGTTATGTTGTAAACAAATGCTTGATGTAAATAAATTCTGTATTGAAATATTGCGGATTATGAATATTTAGAAAGATAATTTTATGGAAGAAACAAGGGAAAATGAGTTGGCATAATGGTACAAGTTTCAATCTACTTGGATTCTGAACTTAGAAGTCGGAGTAGTTTTGTTAGTGGAAAGGATAAGTTGAACATATTCAAGGTCATTAGTTAGCTCTTGGAAGAACTTTTTATTTTAATCAACAAAGGTGTAGTAGAGTTAGTAATTTGGATGTGTTTGGTTTGATGCAGGTTGGGTTTTTTCCTTTTTTTTTTTTAATCGTATTTGAAATATTTGAATATATAAAAATGTTTGTATGACAAACCCTGATTTAAACAATTTGAACTTTTGACTTAGCCTAAATACATGAATTTTTAAATATTACCTTATTAGCTTATTTTGCTTTTTAGCCAATTTCAATTTTTTTTCTTAAAGAATTGATAGTTTTAATTTAATTTAATTTTATTTTATTAATACTAAAAAAGAATTTGAGCATTTGGGTTAAGTCCATTGAAATTAAAGCTTGGTTGAGATTTTTTTGAGCTTATTTAAACAGTCTGAATAAATTTAAAGTAAAGAAAATTTTTTAAACTCTTGAGTTTGGTTGAGAATTTTTAAATTTATTCAAACTGACTCATAGAGTGTAGCTTGAATTATCAACTTTACTACGTGATGTTTGTCATATTTAATAATTGGGAGATACTACCAAAAAAAATAATAATAAGAAAAATTGCATCTAAGGACCTTAAGAGCACAATTATCACCAGAAAGGAGCAAAAGAATGTGAATTTGTTTTGTGGAACCAAGAGACCTAAATATAATTAAAATGTATTGTGAAAGATAAAGTTACCCTTAATTTTTTTGTTGAAAAAAAGAAATGGCCCACCAGCACTAGTTATTGACCACCTGCTGCCGACAGTGATCATAGGAGCTCCAGCACTGATGATCATTAAATCTCCAAGGTGTTTTCAAGAGAGTTTTGAACCTATGACTCTTTTGAAATGCTGAAAGATATAGCTATTGAATATAATAGGAAAAAATAATTATATATAATAACTTTTGTTTTCAAAACAATTTCTTTATTACAAATGTAAAGTTAACCAGATGGCTTTCATGCCATCTTTTTTTAGAAGTTTTTGGATATTGTTAACGACAATGTTTTCAACTTATTCTTTTACTTCTAACAATTTGAACATATTCTTAAAGCTTTAAGCCGCACTTTTATTACTCTCATCTCAAAAGGCAATTCCATCAAGACCTCCAGGGACATTAGAACTATCAATTTGTGCAATGTTTTCTTATAATATCATTTCTAAGGTTTTAAGTAACACACTCAAGGTTGTCCTACAAGGTTAATTCCTCCCTTTCAAAGTGCTAACTTGGTTCATCAGACTCATATCACAAAAGGAAAAGGGAAAAAATTGGGTGCGCTTAAACTTGACTTCTCTAAGGCCTTTGACAAGATCTCTTGGTCTTTTATTGAAGTTGTGTTACGAAGGATGAACTTCTCTACCAAATGGATCCATTTGATTATGAATGCATTTCTACGGTTGAGTTTCAAATTATCTTTAATGGTAGACTCTCAAATCTAATCCACCCATCAAGTGGAATAAAACAAGGAGACCTTCTTTCTTCTTACCTCTCAATTAACATTCAGAGATTGCTAATTATTTTGGCATTCAACCAGCTGATTCTTTTGGTAAATATCTGGATACCTAGATTGATGTTAAGTGAGACAAATCTTCAATTTTTTCCTAAATCATGGAATCCATTGAAAAAAAAAATTGTTTCTTGGAAAATTAAATTGCTTTCTCAAGCTTCTAAATTCATTCTCATCAAATTGATTCTCTCTGCATCTAATATTTTCACTCTCTCATGTGTTAAACTTCTTAATCACCTTTATGATGCCATTGATGCAAAACTCACTAACTTCTTGGGATATAATGATGATAAGAAAAACATTTATCTTGCCAAAAGGGAAATTCTTTTTTCCCCTACCAAAGAGGGTGGTCTTGGTTTGAGAAACACTAAAAACATGAATATGGCTCTTTTTGCCAGGCAGATACAGAGAATGCATATTGCTGAGGAGCATTTTCTTCTAGGCAATACAATCAAAATCAAATATTTTGAGAACTTTAAAGGGCTTTAGTTCAAAATACCTCACAGTGCCTCTTGGTTTTTGAAATGATATATCTTGAAAGCCTCTGACCTTATCAAGAATCATTTTGCTTGGCATGTTGGTAGTGGAGAATCTATTTCTCTCTCTCATAATTATTTATGGAAGCTATTTAACAGTCAAGATTAATAGCAGACAATATTGCATTCTTTTTAAAAATTTAGAATGTCAGACGCCTTTCATAAAAAGGTGCTAGGTCACGTTTGCCTTTAACCCTAGAATATTTATTATAATTGTTAAAGCCAATAGTCACATTGTTAATGTATAGTAGCTCACCCTCTATTTAATTCGTACTTTTTTTATCTTAATTTTTTACTTTATTTTTCCCTTTGCATTAAATTCTTGTACCATCATTTCCCTCCTTTATTTTTCATGAGGAATTCGATTTTCAAACTCAAATATAGCAAATTCCAACTGCTTCCCCTTGAGCCATACTTGGAAACAATTGTGGGTGTTTGAGACCCTAGATTGAACTTGCTTCTTCTAAGGTACTTTCATGCTTCATATTTACATACCTCAAGACTAGGTTATAAATCACGCTTCATGAACTTAAATACTTGATTAAATTCATGGCTTTATCTTGAAGAAAATTGGATAGCACCTCCCCTTAAATTCAAGCTTTTCAATTTTCACAAAACTTGCTAAATTCTTATTCTATCATTCCTAAACCTATTTCAACATCATTTCCATGATCTTAACATCATCAAAATTTTAAGGTTTTCTCTTTACAAAAATAGGGCAACAGCATAACTCCATGGAAAATTAAATCCCAAGTACTTAGCTCAAGATAAAACTCGTGCTTACCTCTTTACTATAACTTTTTCTTAGACTCTTCAACTTCCACACTTCTTGGCTGCACCAAACTCCTCTCAAGAATCTAAAACCATAGGATTGTTGCTCTTGAAAAGTAGAACAACTTTTTGTGAAAGCATTTTGAGGTAGATATGTGGTTTTGATGGTGATTTTGCTTGGTTTTCTTTCTCTCTCTCTAAACCTCTTATGCATTCTCAATGGAAGATGCTTAGAAATTCTCTCTCTTTCTTTCTGCACTCGCTGACTGAAATGAGGAAGAAGAAATGGGTATGGTGGTATTTGAGTAGAAGATTAAATCGATTTTGATATTATTAGGATTGCAAAATATTTAATTTCCCATTTTTATTCTAATCAATATTGTTAATCAATTTTGGACCATGTAAATGCCTTACTTCTTCTTCAATTACAAATCCAAGTTGACGCCACTAGTCCCTTCAAATGGGCTCAAAATTGGCTCTTAATAAAATTAACTCTTACACAAATGAAAAATTTGTATTATCTTGACACAATATTATATTGGAAACTAATTCTTTAAGCAAACCTAACCAATAAAATTAGTATAATTTTTCCAAATATTTCCTCCTTTCATATACTAATTTTCTTAAATTTTTCCTAAATTTTGAGTAATTTTTTGTAATTACACTCCATAACTTTCAAAAATTACATTCTAATCTAGTTGAGATCAACATTTTTGGATTAATGTTCACTCTTGTTCATCTTTAACACTTGACAATTTCTCACAATCTCACTATATTTAATTAAATATAATTACCCTAGAACATTAATAGTTACCATTTGGTCCTAAATAGACTATTATTCTTACTCAATTTTTTTCTCTATCCTTTCTTAGCCTAGTTAGTAGTTGAGCTGTCTAAGAAAAAGTCATGGATACTCTTTTTATAATAGTTAGTCAAATTTAAAAGGTTTTTATATTCTAAACTCATCCTAGACAATCGTTTTTCTAGAAAACTATCATATACTCTATGGCTTAGTAACTTTTCTATTAGGTCTAATGCGATCATAAAATCTAATTGCAATCTCGAGATCTAACTGCGATTTCACTAAGCTCTTTTTGGATCTAATACGATTGATAGGATCTAATTGCAATCCTTCTTAAGGAGATTTAGGATATAAGGACAATATTGTTAAGTAACTCTATCTCTATTTAATCTAGCAACTTTACTTATTATTCTTCAATACTGATTTTAGATACCCCTGTACCCTCCTAGGCCTTATTCATTGCTTTATTTTTTACTTATCCTGGATACTTTTGGACTTTAACTTGATCATTTCTTAGTTCCAAACATTTCCTTGATGTCTTTGAAAATATTAAGCCGTTGCCCCAAAAAGACTTTAAAATTACATGCTAGTCCTTGAGAACCATTCTATCTTTTTAGGAAAACTTTAGGGATGATAAATCATATTTTTTACATCATTTTTATTCCCTCTATTCTTAGTTTTTGACACTTACTTTTTATGTTTTGAGCATCATTTGAATTTATTGGATCAAGTAGGCCCATGTAATGGGTTAGTCTAAGCTCTCAATTGTGAAGGGTGACCTAGCAAAGGTTTCACTCTCACTCTCAAACCATAAATTCTCCTTTTCCACCTCAAGGGTGTTTCATGTCTCTATTACCAACTTCAACTAGTTGGGGTTAAGGGAAAACCCTATTACCACCTTTCCTAGGTGGGTTTAAGAGCAATAATCAAGAACCAAACACTAAGGTTTCATGGTGCTAATGGATATCATGTAGATTTAGATATATATCTCCATGATGAATTCCCACTCAATTCAAGATCATGCCATACCATTTACTCAAATTTATATATTAAATTTACCATGTACAATCTCACACATCAAATTTGCACATTTCAACCAAATGCCTTAATAGTCAATATAACATGTCAAATTTAAGTACCAAAATTCAAAATCATCAAAGTCATATTTCAAAAACCATAAGCCACTTCACATATAGTTTTAAAACATAAAAAGCACATTATCTTATACAAAAATACAAGTTCAAGTTTCACAAAAACCCAATTCAAAATCAAGCAAATACACAATTGAATTAGTGTCCCCTATAACATCTTGAATTTTGAGCCTAGAACTCAGGAATATGCTATAATTTAATAAGCTACTAAACCCAAGTAATCAAGAGTCTTTTAAAAATAATAAAGAAATGAAAAATTAGGAACTGACATGCTTGTCCTTGGGGTCAAATTAATTCTTCCAAAATTATCATTATTTACTCTCTCATTCCAAAAATTCCCAAAATTACCCCAAAAAAATAATAATAATAAAAGTAAAAATAAAAAATAAAAAAATTCTCTCAATATATATTTTATTTAAATTAGTTTTATGATAAATGGAGAGTAGTAATTTAGTGAAATTATGTTAATAGCTTACCGAGAAAGTCTAGAGTTCGAATTCTCATCAAGCAATAGGATAATTTCATATTATTTTAATTTTTAAAAATTACCAAAAATGTCCTTGTCTTTTCTGTTATAACAGCGAAATTTTGGCCCTTTTCCGTTGTTTTCCCAATGGTTCTTATTTTAGATTTTTAATCCTTTTCCTGTGCCAAAAAGAGAGCTGTAGCGTTCATTTCTTCTTTCTCTCCACCGCCATTACCCTCCTCTGGTTCTTCATCATCAATCCACTCCTCTAGCTCTTCTTGTCGATTCCCTTTTGCTCGTTGTCAACCCATGCCTCTTCACTGCTGCTGGTTCGTCCGTCGCTGGTGTCCAGGTTTGCCGTGGACTCACCGTTGACGAGGTCGGAGTCACGAGTTCGTCGTTCCCCTGTTCTTTGTTTCACCATCGATTCCTTCTTCTCCCTTCCTCGTTGGCATCATTTAGGTGCTGGTGAGTGAAGCTCGTCCTTCGTCCTCCTCCTTTGTGCAACAGCATCTCTTTCCTCTTCCACCACTGAGTTATGTCGGGCTCCCTCTCCCCTGTACAGCTCCTGCAAATCTTCTCCCTTCTTGCTGTGCTGTCTATGATTAAGGTGAGAAGCATTAAGATCTTCTTTCTGATAATCTTGTGTGCGTGAGTGCGTGAATTATTAGTTGAAGTTGTCTTCTTCTTCTTCTTTTTTTTTGTCCCCTCTTGTGCTGCTTCTGTCCGTGTGATGAAAGAAGGAAGAAATTTAAATTGAATTGGAAATAATTTTCTGCACTTGTGAGTGTGGACTGTCGTTGCTGTGCGTTAGAGTGTGGTTTGCTCTGTGTGTCCGTGAAATTACCGAATTTTAGCGTGTTTTCTGTTGCTGCCGTGCTGTCATAGGGAAGAGACAGTTCAAATATTGAGCTGCTAATTTATCTTAAAGTTTGAGAATGATATACTCATGGATTATAATTTTTGACTTGAATTAATTATTTAGATCGGGTGATGTTGAAGAATTTGTTAGGATGAAGTTGAAAAAGAATAGCTTAAATATAAAATTTAAATATTGGTGCTTATAAGATGTTTGTTGAAATGTTTGCTAGAAGATGTTGCAAAGGTGATCAGAAAATAATAATAATAATAATAATGTGACTATTTGAATCCTTGGATAGTTTGTTGATAAATATGTCTTTACATACAAGTTATAAATTTAAACTATTCATTGAAATCGTGTAGCACTTAAAAAGAAATTGTCAAACTATATGATGATTAAAATTTTTGTTAAGTTTCGAATAAGAATTAAATTAATGGTTAAGGTTGACTATTATTAAGTATTGTTGATCTACTTGATAGAAGTTGTTGGAGGGTTTAGTGAGAGTTTTAGGGGTTAATGAAAAATTTAAAAAATTATTGAAGAATTTGAATGTTAATTTTACTTGTTTATATTAAGAAGAAAATTCATAATGATAAGAGGATTGTTGAATTATGTGTTAGATTATTTAGAGAATCACTGAAGTAAGTGAGAACTTAAGGAAGTCAAGTTTTAGAATTCTTGAAGAGTCTCCTGTGAATAGGTGGCATTCCGAATATATTTTAGTAAAGTGTTTATAAACATTTCTTTATTTAAATATTATTATTGTTTTATAAATTGTTTATATATTCTTGTTAATCCTATTTTCATATCAATGGTATTATTTCTCATAAGTAGTTTAATTATTTAATTCTATATTGATATAAAATTTTTATTGCAATGATTTGTATATGGAGGAAATGATGATAATTTTGGGCAACAAAAAATGATAGTTGAATAATATTTGAAAGTGAAAATTTTGAAACTATTTTTTTCTTCATATACACTTGATTTTAATGAAAGGGACTAAGTTCAAACCGCTAAATGCTAACGACAGTTCCGTTGGTCTTTGGTGCGCCATGATACACCTAACTAGTATAGTGCTTATGGGAGGTGCTAGTCCCGTGCGCAGGCCAACACACATGGAACAGAGGGATGATTATTCGTGAGCATTGTACTCATGCTTATTCGTGGGTCTCATGCCTGTACTTGACTCGTGACTCTAGCTGCATTTGTTTTATGGCTTTTAACCGTGTTTGATTGGTTACTTACTCTTATGAACTATGTGTTCACGCTTGGTTAGTTACCCTCATGGATTGTATGTCCACACTTGTTATTCATTCTGATAAAGCTCTCCTAAATCTAAACTTAAAATTCATTATTTTTATATTATTTGTTTAAAAGCATCTATTTAGTCATACTGTTGCTTGAAATTTTTATATTCTATGAACATTATAAATTTTGATAAATTGTTTTATCTTATTAACATTGTTCAAATTTATGATTGTATCATCTTAAAAACTTGTTATTTATGATTATTAGTTTAAGTCTATGGTCTATTATTTCAAAATTTTAAAATTAAATTTATTCATTAAGGTCTTCATATATTTATATACACATACATAATTGAAACGCTAGTCATCGGTAATTTTTTTAGTCTCAGATAGTGTAACTGACTCTATGCCTTCAGCGGATTATTGAGACGCCTTTTGCCTTTTTGGAAAAGAAAAGTCATATTGTGATTATTGTTTTGGTAAAATTATGTATTGTATTTTATAATCATAACTTAGTACTCCATATACACCATAAGTAGGTCATAGGTTTATTTTGTTATTATGTAAATTGCTGGAATAGAGCAAGTCTACTTGCTGGTCTTGTTAATAGGCACAATTGTTGTTGTGAAATTTGGGAGGTTTGAAATATGGGGGAGATTTTGCTAAAATTTTTGCAAAACACTTGAGACTTTATGAGTTTTATTATTATATATAACTTACATATATCAATATTTTAACATAATTTTTGGTTATTAAGACTTATGGAATATGAATTTTTCTCATATTCCATACCGATCATACCTTTAGTTTTGGGGTGTGACAATGACATTGCCAACTAGGATTTTATTTTGTTGTCACTTTCACTACTTGCATGGTTAAATGCTAATTTTTGTTATATTTTGTGCTCAAGTTGTCCTATGCGATATTAATATTACGATTAGGGTCAAAATATAAATGTAAGTGTGCAGGTGTCTTGTGATATTTTAGTTATAATTGGAAAATGAATTATGCATGCTTAAAAGGATTTAATGTGAATATGACCTTGTCTTTATATGTGCTGAAAATGGGACTAGTTGGATAGGTCAACTTGTGAGTTATGAATATTGTTAAGGTATTATGTATTGCACAAGTTGTCTGGGTTTGTTTTGAGTATGGTTTAAAGGTTGTAGTGACCTAATGACATATGGCTGTGAGTTTGAATACTTTAGTTGTGAAAATTTTTGAAAAAGGATGTGTTTTGGTTCCAAAAGTCCAAATTTGTGATGTGAATGATTTTAGTCATGAAACTTATGTCATTAGTTTAATTTTGAAATGAGTTTTTTTATAGATACCTAGATAATTTAGATATGACATTAAACAAAGAAATGGGGCTCATCAAAAGTTAGTTCTTAGAGCTTGTCTTGACAATAGAGGTTTGTTGTCTTGATCCTTGTGCTATTTCATGGTACATGGTGCCTTCATCGCAATATGTGGCATAGAGATGTGGGAAGTTCTTTATGTCGAAAGCTATAACAATTGGCACCCTAGCCACAATGCAGAACATAAGGGGATCTTCTTGGTTTTCTTGATCTATTGTGATGAGTTGCTCAATCTTGAAATTCATGATTTTTTATAGGCCTTTAGAAAATAGTGTTTTTAATCTTTGATGCTTCTGAAAGCTTAAATTCTTTGATGTGAGAGCTGCATACTCTGGTTTGATTTATAAGTTATGGTTTGGATTGAAAATTCATATTTTCCTTGATCTTATTGATTTTAAAGGATTATTTGATACTTCTATACTATAGTAGTATTTAGTTGGATAAGTCCAATTCCTTCTACTATGATAGATGCTCATAAAATTGGTTTTTACTATCTAATTACCATGATAGACTCCTTGCTACCATGGTGTGTTTATAATTTGGATATTTTGAATAATAAACCTTACTTTTAGGCTTTTTTTTAACTATAGTATTAAATAAATATAGAAGATTTATTTCTTTTCTACCATGATAGAACATTTTCTATCATGGTAGTGTATTTCATCAACTTAAAAAGACGAGTGAAATTTTTTATAACCATAATAGTCTTGTAATTCTAGTTAGTTCCTTTTCTACTATGGTTAATCTTTAATTGACAAGGTGAAACCTTTCTATCGTGGTAATCATTAGATATGGGAATGATCTATTTTACCATGATAAAGTATGATTTAATTCGGTTAACGAAGTTGGACATTACCACTTTGGTATGCTAAAGGAGGAAGTGAATACTTAGAGGATGCAAGACTGATAGGAAGAGCACAAGTGGATTTTGTCACTTCTTAGCAGCTTACTTGTGTCTTGGAAAAGTAAGAAGCAAAACTCAGTCTCTTTGTCAAATGCTGAGGCAAAGTACATTGTTGCTATACTTGGTTATGCTCAAATTCTTCAGATGAAGCAACAACTGAAGGACTTTAGGGTCAAACTCATGGAAATTATCATCAAGTATGACAACACAAGTAAAACATACTTAACAAAGAATCTTGTTCAACTTTAAAGAACCAAGAACATTGACATACTCCATCACTTCATTAGAAATCACATTCAAAATAAAAACATGTTGGTGAAGTTCATTCCAATGAATTTTCAGTTGACAAATATTTTCACAAAGCCATTAGGAGTTGAACAATTTATTTATATAAGAAGAGATTGGGTTTGGTAAATCTCAAATGAATTGTAAGTTTTTCTATCGTAATTTTAAGTTATGATAATTTAAGATTGTTACTGACTTAAACTCCATAATGTCTTTAAAGTTTTTTGTAAGTCGGGTTAAGAGTTTTCTAAAGCTAACTGGTAATTTTGAAATTTAGAGGATGAATTTTGAAAGTAACAAGTCAGTCTCAAAACTCATGTGTGTATAAAAAGATATCTAGCCTATTTTAAAAGGAAATTGAGTTCTTGAAAGTGCTAAAGGAAGAGAAACAACACTTTTGAATTTAGGTTGTCAATTTCAAAAGTTTAATGTCTTGAAAAATTTTCAATGAAGAATGACTTTTAATTTGAAAGTTAGGGAACATTTTTGAATGTCGTGGTGGAATGTCAAGTTCAATATCAAAGATGTCTTCCAAGTTTTGAAAGTACAGCCTAAAGAGAATTCTAAAGACAAAAAAACTTTTGAAAGTCATTAGACAAAGTAATGAAAGAAAATTAGAGCATTCATCATCTAAAGTCCTCTCCCAATATTTGAAAGTCTGGATGCTGAATTCAGCCAAGGTACAAATTTCAAAAGTCCTCTCCCATTTTTAAAATTTCATATATAAGATATTATTTAAATTATTTTTATATCTATCTAATTTAATCATAGTCATTGATTTTATTTCTAAATACATTTATTTTGAAACTATCACGAAGGCCTTTGATTTTTTATAATGTTCCACTCATCAGTTTCAAAACACCTTGAAAACTTTCGAAACCTAGCTACATATTCTCTCAAATCGTTCTCCTTGTACATTCCTTCATTCCTAAATCCATCTTATACACTAATTACCCTTGCCTGTGTCATCAAAACCCTTCATTCAAATCATCATCAAGTTTTAAGAATTTTGATTGTCTCTATCTCTTGAGCTCAACAATGGCCATAACCAATAATATAGAGAAGAGCTTAAAACAATAAGGAATTTCAAAAGAGGACTTTGAGAAGTTTGAAGAATTAGTCAATCAACCTAAAAGGAACACACCTTCCAAGTAAGAAATAAAGAGCAAAGACACAGTCATTGAAAAGGCCAAGAAAATTGCAAGAGAGAGGAAGAAGAAAGAAGGGAATCAAAAGTAAGTGAAATTCAAGTTCTAGCTTTCAATCCTCAACATCATGCCTCCTCTACCTCTTGGAGACTCTTCTCTCCCAAAAACTTTTGCATATTCCAATTTGGACCTTGTTGGGTCTAGTGCTCAGAGAAGTTCAAATGAAGAAAAAAAGAGTGCTTAGGTTAGTCAAAAATCAATGATTTTTTAGACAACAAGCAAAGGCTCTAATGATGTGTCTATACACACCACCTCCACTTCATCTACCGAGAAGACATTCAAATAGCCTCTTACCCAAAATAATAAACCTGTTCTTAACTTACAATCAAAAAGCACTTCAATGAGTAAGGCACCTTAAGTGCAACTTGAGAAGAAGAGAAAGCCTAATGTTGCTATAAAGGGGAAGCAAATTTTAGTGCAAGATGAGAGCACCCTTGAGTATGCAACTGGAAAGTTGGAAGAATATGTGGATCAAGCTCAATAGTTCAAAGTAGGGAAGAAGGACTTAGTTAGGTGTTGGTATGTTTCTCTACTAACACTTGTTGAGCATGGTTATGATTTGATAGAGTATCTTAAGGATTATGAAGCTTTTCTCTCCATCAACATGCTTGTATTGCTTCCTATGTAAAGGCATTTTATAGTAGGATGGAAATGTTTGAGAAAGAAGAAAATAAGAAAAAAGAATTTGAATTTTTTTTTGAAGTTTACCTTTTCTTCAAGGAAAATGAAAAAGAAAATTTTATGTTTTATAAAATATAATAAAATGAAAAAAAAATTCATAAAAAAGGAAAACTTCATAAAAGCTTATAGATCAGAGAATTTGCTTCCTTAGTCATTTAGGATATTTTTTCTATAGTATTAATGTTTCCCTTAAATGTCCTTTTCTTTTATCATCCCTACCCCAACTAATTAAATGAATTTCATTAAAAATATATATCCTCACAATAAGGATTATTAGAGGGAGTATTTTTTTTTTGTGATTTAAATGGGCCACGAGGATTAAAAATGGGGAACTAGTTTAACATATATTGAATACAAACTCTTGATCTTTGAAATGTCACTAGCGAGTGCTTGCAAAATGAGTGGTAAAGAGAAAGAGAGTGAGGGTGAGCACAGGTTCTCAATGGGTTTGGTTAAAAATTAGGAAAGGGAGGTTATAGAAGGCCTTTCCAAGCAAGATAAGGACATCATAGTGAAGAACACTTGGAAGAGAGATAAGGATGTAGATATGCAAGACCAAAGGGTAGAAGAAGAAATATTTAGAGGCCATATGGGAAAAAGGATGAGAAAGACAATACTATTGGACAATCGTAATAGTAGAATGAGAAGAATGATGCTTGGGGTGCATTGAGCCAAAG